ATGCACTTCGACTGAAAATTCCTGCTGCTGTAATGGACAGCTACCTCTGCTCCTAGAGAGAGTCCCTAGATCTTGATGATCAGGAAGAGGTCAGTAAGGAATATAAAGAGATAAAATCCATTAGCTATGTGCTATACATACACACAGGGAGCTGATGACCACCCCAGTGAGAAAGCTGTGGCTTGCTTCAGGACCTGTACTGGACAGGGATATCAGATCCTGAAAGAATTCCCAAGATTCTTCTAGAAGAAGCATGAGATGCATATTTTTCAGGTGAAAAGTATTACTTTTTTAAAGTGACAATAAACGTGTAAGATACCGAATAACGCAAAGAGAATACATCTATAACCTGCAAGCCAATAGTCTGCATCTTTGGCTATGACCATTCATATATCCAGAACATTAAAAGAAGACTAAGTCAGGGTTCTAACCCTTGGTGCAAATGCAGCTGGCACTGTATAATTCTTTGTTGTTGGCACCGTTCAGCACCCATGCCAGCAAAAGATGACAGCAGCAACTCCTGCCCCACCCATCCAAGTTATGACCATCAAGAAGGCTGGGATGTGGCTCAGTGGTAGAGTGCCTGTCCTAAGCAAAGCTTTGAAAAACATCTAGATACTGGCCAGGGTCCCCTGAGGAAACACAGCCTCAGGTAGCAAGCCACTGAATTACAGTAACACCCAACTCACAGCTCCCAAAATTTGATGAAGGAAGCACTGAAGATGAATCAAACACCATACGCATCTGCTTCAAAGTCAGAAACCTGTTTTGGATCCACAGCTCCATCATGTACCAGCTCTGTGACCTCTCTGATCTCTGGCTTCCTTATTGTTAATCAGGAATAAACAACACCACCCCAAAGCTGCTCGGAAAATGCAGTGGGTTCCTTATGAGAAGTGCATCAGCTTAATGACCATGAAAGACGTTCAAGACATTTGCTCGTAAACATGCCACCTTTCCTGGTGAAAGGCAGCCCTAGTTCTGTGGTCAGAAGTACATGGGCTGCAGAGGTGGAAAGCTCACACCATGTCCTGTGTGGGTCACTGAGTAGATGTCTGGCAAATCATTTGTCCTTCTTCATAAAATATAAATGGTAGTCACCGTAGGTTAGAACCAGGCCAGGTGCTGAGGCACAGCCCTTGGTAAGACACACCACTGTAGGAAGGTGAAATGATTACTCTGTCCCTATTAAAGATCTCAGCAAATGAGAATGAGCTCTCCAACAAGCCAGAGAACCAATGGTGCCATGGTGTCAGGTAAAGAAGGAACCAGGAAGTGGAAACTTCCAGGTCCTCTGAGATAAGCAGTTGCCAACACAGCCACAGACCACATCTGGCCTCAAAACTTTTTGTGTAGTGTAATGCCATAATGCTGCTGTGCTTGTTTGAGTTAAATGTCAGCTAATGTTCCCCCAAACTTACATTTTAGGCAACTTCCTGAGAACTCTAGAGGTTGGGACCCACACTTCCACAGACACACCCCCACCTTCTTATTAGAACATGACTCTTCAGGTTCTCTGCGGTCCTTCCCTGGACCTTCACTTGTCAAATGAAAGCACTCATAACTCTATCAGGGTAGACTCTCTGCCAGGGATGTACTCCTAGTCACACCTGCCCAGCTCCTCTCTTGACACACAACAGCGCCTGACCTCATATTCCTGTACAGCCTCCTCTCTCCAGACAATGTCCGCCCACCACCACTCCTGACTCCCTGCTGCACCGGCTGCCCTCTCTAATTATCTGAAGCCAAGAGTTTTCAAGAGAGAATGTTTCTCCTTTTCCACAGCAAGACTGCAAAAGCTCAACAGAGCTTTTCTTGTTTGCCTGACCAGTGTCTGCCCATTTTGTTGCTGGTAACAGTGCCCCAGTTTACCTTAGGGAACCAGCACTCCTCCACTCTCTATTTGGGTGGGGTTGAGTCCATTCCATTTCCCAGGAAAGGCATGTGACCCAGAAACAGAGCCAATCCCGGGACTTTGGCCACAGTCACAAAGTATTCTTTTCCTCTGAGACTTGTGCTGAGGATAATGGAAGTCTGTGAACACAGCCTGTCTAAAGAGTGAACCCTCCAGAATGCCCTGAGATCCAGCACTGGGAAGGCTGGGGCAGGAGGACTTGGAATTCTGGGCTATACAGTGAGACTGCCTCAAACAAAAGCAGTCCTATGCCTAGACTCCTGATGACAGGCACCTTGAATTATGGGTTTTTTTTTTTTCTTCACCAGAAGAGACCTAATTCTTGCAAGAAAGTGTGAAAGAAGTGGGGGGGTGGAGAAGCAAAGGCTAAGCTCACACCTCCCAAGAGCAGCTTTTATGAGCTGGTGGCAGGCAGGTTGTCCTCGGTGCACCTGGCATCCCTCTGGAAGTGCTTATCTTATGTTTATAATTACTTGAGGTTTGCCTATCTCCTCCATACATCTACAGAGCGGCTGCAGGGCACAGATCTCATTTGTATTGGTCTCTGATTCTTTATTATCACACAGTGGTATGTAGTGCAGCCTCACTCAGTGTTCACTGAATATGAGACTCAACAAAGAGCATGTGGATTAAAATATCCATTCCACTACTCTTTTTTAGGGCACCCAGGTCGTAAGACTACCTCATAAGCCACGCCCACAGACTCATCCATCCTCTGCACACAAATTGCATCGTGGTAGCTCATTCTTTCTAGGCATTACTAATCCTCAACCACACCAGTCCCATGAAACTTCTCGATGGAGTTACTCACGAGCATTCCATCCTATAGAAATTCCTCGCTGCACGATAGCACCTAGAGATCCACAAACTGATAACGGCGGATGCTCACTTCCTTCTCTATCACAGCTTCTTCTTCACAGCTGGGAGAAATCTGGGCTAGAAAAGCATTCTTCTTTACCCAAATACACCCACGATCTGCTTCTGATGGGTACCAACCATCTGGCTCACTGAATAGTAATTCTAAGTTCTAGCCTCCATTTTTCTCCCTACCCCCTTAGGTTTACTTAAAAAGGGAACACACACACACACACACACACACACACACACACGGGGAGGGGAGGTTTCTAGGAAATCAACAACAAGAGAGCAACAGGTTTCTCCCCAGTAAAAACAGATGTTCTGTAAAGTCTCATGGCTGCCACGCCCTTACAGCTCTGTAATAGTTGCAGCTTCCCCTGGCATCTAGCAATAAAGACTTTCAAACAGAGTCAAAGGTCAGGGCCAGAATTACTGTCCCAGTATGAATCACTACCACTTTATCCTGTTCATATTTTCCCAAACTTAATTCCGCAGCACCTGGCAATGTAGGACGAGCTAGAATCCTGGCATTAACAATTTTGACAGGTCATCTGTTGTGGGACGGGAGTCACAGACCCTGGGAATCAAAGACTCTCAGGGTGCTCAAATAGCCAACACCAGCAGGTAAAGAGGCAGTTTGATTATAGAAATCGAGTAGTGCATGGTATCAAGACAGTGCCCATCTGAGATATCAAGGATCTTCTGAGGGCACAGAGACTGAAAGAAGTGAAGAATGAGAGAGAGGTTATCTATCAGCGAGGTGTGGGAAGAGAGGCTTCTGGGAATTCCAGGAAGAGGATAACTTAAGAAACATAGGCTTCCCGTGGAAACTGAAAGTGGGCAGGTATGGCCAGAATATAAAAGTAGGAAGAAAGGCTAAGGAGAAGCAGGGGCCCACAAAACCCGAACCAGCTTTCAAGACAGAAAGCTCTCAGAATTTTGCATAAAACCAGCAACTTTCCCTTGTCCCACACAGTACAAAACCTAATAAATAAATAACAATCTAACGAAGACATTGTGGCATCTACTAAGTTTTGATTCTGCCATGTGTATCTGAAAGGAGTTCAAGACTCACAGGAAATTATCATTTCTCACTATATTTCTTGTTCACACCATTAGGATTACTTGCCTTGATCTCCTCTTTCTCTATTTCTACAAGCAACAAAAAACTAGACATGTCTGGGTTTAAGGGGCAGGGGCTGAGTCTGGATAAAAGATACCAAGATTACATGATGGGGGAATTTTTTTTTTCTTTTTAGAAACTCAATTTAACAAAACTTAGCAAAAGGTTGAGGGAAATGAAACACTGTAAAAAGCAAATTTAGAAAACCCAAGAGGAAGTAAAAGTATTTTCCTACATATAAAAAAAGAAGTGTCTCACGTGCTTCAACCAAACTAAACTCCCCTTAACTGCTAAGGGAGGAGGGAAAGCGAGAGCTGTGAAAAATTCATCTATCTCCGTGTAGAATAAACAGCAAATTGGTTCAGCACAGCTATCTGCCCTACAAGACCTTGAAATATTTGTTCCAGATAGCACAGCACATGACAACAGTCTCCTGAAAGCTCTAAAAACCGCAAATCGTTCCTGTTCTACAGCCTACTCATCTACTGTCCCTCCTTTATTCTTTCATTTAAAAAAAAATCAGCTTCTTGTCAAGCACTCACGCAGTGTCACAAAATACCACATCCTTGGTGAGAAAAGGCATCCTTTTCCCTTTCTAAACCTCTAGACCTCAAGAACTCGCAGCAAACTCCCAAAAGCCTGGATTTTGAGACTGTATTTCTCGATTCCTTCACAGAGGGGAGGAGGGCTAAACTTATCTGGGCAAGCCACACTAGCCTAACACCCCTTGGGTTCCTAGTGACCAGCAAGCTCTTCTCTGAGGAAGGCTGCAACTGCGGGTCGGCGGGGAGAGCCTGAGAACACCAGCCCCAAAGCTGCGCGCCTGGCACTGTGAGAGGCACACAAGTTTACGGAGTTTTCGCACCAGGCGGCGAGCTCCGGCTGGCGGGGACTGGGGGGAGTAAAAGACTCGCACGGGTCTCCCGAGGGCGATGCTCCTCGGGGCAGGACAATGGGCAGCGCCCAGGCCACAGCTTGGCGCAGACCCCCGCCCCGCGGGGCCCAAGGCCCGGCCGCGCCCGGCTCTCCCAGCTCCCCGGCTCCTCGCGCGCAGGACCGGCCCGCCCCCCGCGCGCCCCCCGCCGGCGCGCCCCGCGCACTCGCCTGCCGACGGTCTGGTTGGCCAGCTGCTTCATGCGGTTGAATTGCTTCTTCATGGCGGCGGCGGCGGTGGCGGCGGCGGCAGGCCGCGGGGCTCGGGCTAGGGAGGACTGGGGACCGTCTGGCGGGTCCTACCTACATCGCTTCCCGGCCCCGGAGGCGGTGACGGGGACTACAATTCGGCCCCGCCCTCGCCGCGTCACTTCCAGCGCCGCCGCCCGCCCCTACCACGAGTGGGGCCGAGCCGAGCCGAAAGAGGCCGAAACCAGAGAGGTGGAACAGGTGCGGACGGACGCAACATGGGTGGAGTTAAGCGGATCAGGGCGGGGACCAGTGAGGCCGCGCCGAGGTGGGTGGAGCCGAGCCCAACAGGGCCGAAACCAGATAGGTGGAGCCGAGCTGGGTCCGGCCCGGCCGAAACCAGAGAAGTCAGGCGAAGCAGGACCAAGCTGAGCTGGACGAACTTAAAGAGTGGAGCCGAACCAATCGGAGAGGGATGGAGTTGAGCCAATCGAAGACGGACGAAGAGCGGGAGACGAGCCCAGCCCGGCACCTGGACTCGGCGGTTCTAAATCAGAGCCGGGCGGGATGGGCCGAGTAGAGCCAAACTTAGCTACCTACTCTAGTGGTGACAACTAGAACACAAGTGAACCTCGGAGATCCTGGCCCAGTCCGGCAAGGCGGAACACAGGAATGGGGCCTTGCCCAACCTGACGGCCTTGCCCAGCCTGACCCGGGAGTCAAGCCAGCCGGGGGTGGGGGCGAGGGGGAGAAGGATGGGGGAAGCAGAATCCGGCCAAGCCGAGCCGACTAGGATCTAGTAGAGTGATGCCGAGTCAAGCGTGGGAGAACTGAAATGAAGTGAGGTTAAGCTGAGACGAGCGGACCTAACCTAGAGCGGCAGGTCAGACCAGGGTATATCCTAGAAGGGCAGGAGTGAGCTGAGGCAGATCTATGGGGTGAACCGGCTCCGCGCTCTCAATACCTGAATCCCTTGCTCTCTGTCCTGCCCAAAGGGCAAAGTATCAGGAGAGAGAGAGAGTGCGATTCTTTCCCGGAGCTGCTCACTGGTCCATGGGAAAGGCCAAAAGAGTAGGGTCAATCAGATGAGGGCCCCCTTAGAGTATACACCCAGACCCCCCAGCCAAAGGAGACTGGTCTTCGCTAGGCCCCTGCACTGATGGGACTTGAGTCCCTGCTGCCTTAAATGATCACAAGGTTCTGATTTCCAGCTCTGCGGTAACAGTGGTGCTGGGAAACTTGGTGGGATCATTTCGCATTGCAGAGCCCTTTTGTCCAACTGAACCAAGTTAGTTTTATGACCTGCAGACATGTTCTCCTGACACGGCAGTCTTGACTCCACAAACACAAGATTCCCTACATCCAGTGGGCTATGGCATCCTTTACAGGCTGTGTGGTGGTTTAAAGTGTCAACTTGACAGGATCTAGAACCACCTTAGAAACAAATCTCTGCGTATGTCTGTGAAGAATTATCTACATCGGGTTAATTGAGATGGAAAGGTCCACTCTAAACGTGGGCCACAGCATTCGATGGTCTGTGGCCCCAGACTGCAGAAAACTAACTGAGCTAGGAGCTTTCATCTCTGTCTGCTTTCTGAACGCGGAGGCAGTGTGGTCTTGCTGCGAGCAGCCTCATAACGCCTATTATAGTGCCGTCCCCATCATGGTAGACATCCTTCCCTCCAACTGGAAGCTGGACTAAACCCTTCCTCCCTCACATTGCTTCTTGTCCTGCATTCCCTTACAACAAAGACCAAAGTAACTAATGCAAGGGACAGGGACGTCTTGAGCTCAAAGAACAAGAAACTTAAAAATCTCTATCAATTACAACTCAAGTAAGGAGCCTCGAGTCACGCAGCAAAATGCAAGTCATCAACATTAATTACAACAGGAAGTGTTGAAATAAAGCTTTGTTTTGGTTTGGTTTGGTTTGGTTTTTCTGAGGAGTCTCATATAGCTGAGGATGGCCTGATCCTCCTGCCTCCGCTGGCCAAATGCTAGAATTACAGGCTTGTGGCACCCCATCCAACAAGCCTCATTAAAGCAAGACAGAACTTGAAGACCATTTGCCAAACCCGAGTCAGCCATTGAGTCACTACATTCAGATGCTACCATGAAACTAGACAGTGGTAACATAGGCCTGAAAATCTAGCTTCTCGGGAGGCTGACACAGAAGGATCACAAATTCCAGGTCAGCCCAGCCTACAGAAAGCAGTAAAAGAACAATGCAAAACAGATGTTATCATTATATCAGGGAGCACGAAACAAACTTCATTCAGTTGTGGTACCAACAATGCACTAGGTTTCCAAGTGGATAACATGGATTTTAATGTCAATTTGGTCACAACATGGACAGACAAAGTTTTAAGACACGAGTCTGAAGCTGATTCTTGAGGAGTGTTGCTCAGACTTGCCATGTAGAAGAAAGAGCTAGTAGATGGAAAATAAAATCTACCAACATAAAGGACTTAAATAGAACAGAAGCCAGGGAATTGGCAACCATCCAATTCAATTATCAACCACAGGCATCCAGAAAACCTCAGTGACTCTGTACCAAAGACAGAAGAAGAGTTAGAAATCATGTTTCAGCCAAGTGGCTCAGGAGTTGAAGTCACTGATCTCTAAACCTCAGACCATGCTAAACATTGGTCTAGAGCAGAAGAGACGGCCTTCAAGGAAAGGTGCTTGCTGCCAAACCTCAAAAATTGAATTTCATCCCTGGGACCCACATGGCAGAAGTAGAGAACCGACTGCAGCAAGTTATTCTCTGACCTTCATATACACACAGTGGTACATGTCCACCTACTCAGACCACACACACACACACACACACACACACAATTTTTTAACTGGCCTACCTACAAACAAACAGAAGAGTCAAACCCCCAAATTGAAGATCTTGAAGATACAGTTTAAGATTTAAATAAACTGAGAAACTCTGTCTTGAAAAACCAAAAAAAAAAAAAAAAGATTTAAATAAATTACTATTCCCTATACAAAGTAACAAATAAGACTTTGACACAGGAAGAACACCTCTCCCTTCAGAAGAAACAAAGTCTTAAATGTAGACCTTTGAAAGTACAGGCTTGTGTGATAGGGCAAAGTGATACAGTGGAAGAAGAAGGGAAATCTGAAAAGCCTAAGGGAAGTTCAGGGCTTCCAAATGAATTCAATACATACCCTAAGAACATTTATAGAATATGGTAAGAAAAGATTCCTTGCATCCACAGAACTACCTGAAAAAGGTGGGACGCCATGGGGAACAACAGAGTGGTGTGAACCTGTGGCTAACTCTAAAATGCTACATGTTGTCACAGAACTACAAGCCATTGTGTCTCAGCCAAATGTTAGAAAGACATGCTTAAGGAGAAAGAGCAACATCCATGAAAACTGAACATAAAAAGCACTGTAAGATGTATCTGCTTCAGTTTTTAAGATAAGGGCAGGGGTTAATTTAAAAACCAGCATAAGAAACTATTCCCAGTCCTTTTCAGAGAAAATTCAACTGAGTAACTCAGTTGGTAGAGTGTTTGCCAAACATCCATAGGGCTCAGGGGCTGATCCTTAGCACTGTACAAATTGGCTATAGTAATACAGGTCTGTAATCTAACAATTGGGAGGTAGAAATACACAGATTGTGGATTCAGAGTTATTCTTGGCTATATACAGAAATAGAGACCATCCTGATCTATATGAGACCCTTTCTCAAAAAAAAAAAAATCTCAAAACAGAGTAGAAGAGATCAAAATTCAGCTACAGGAAAAAAAAAAGATTAGATTCAAACACTTTCTGATGTTTTTCAAATAGAGAAAGTTCAGTATCTGGATATAGAAACTAGTGTAAAAGGAAAAGAAGAACAATCATTTGATTGTTCAAGTAGGAAACTCCACTTGCAAATGAAGAGAATGTTTCTCTTATTGAGCAGCCTGGGCAGCAAGAACGTAGCTCATCAGACACCAAACATGAGCAGGAACTTCCGAGTCTCTAAAACTGTGAGCAACAAACTTGTCATTTAAGAACCACCAAATGTGAGCTGGAGAGGTGGCTCCTTAGTTAAAAGCACTGACTGCTCTTCCAGAGGTCATGAATTCAATTTCCAGCAACTGTATGGTGGCTCACAAACCACCTGTAACAGGATCCGATACCCTTTTCTGGTGTGTCTGAAGACAGCTACAGTATACTCACATAAAGTAAAAAAAAAAAAAAATTCTTTAAAAAAAATAAAAAGGGGCTGGTGAGATGGCTCAGTGGTTAAGAGCACTGACTGCTCTTCCAGAGGTCATGAGTTCAAATCCCAGCAACCACATGGTGCCTCACAACCATCTGAAATATCTGATGCCCTCTTGTGGAGTGTCTGAAGACAGCTATAGTGTAGTTACATATAATAAATAAAAATTAAAAAAATTAAAAACCAACAAATGGCAGGGCAGTGGTGGCTCATGCCTTTAATCCCAGCACTTGGGAGGCAGAGGCAGGCGGATTTCTGAGTTCGAGGCCAGCCTGGTCTACAGAGTGAGTTCCAGGACAGCCAGGGCTACACAGAGAAACCCTGTCTCGAAAAAACAAACAAAACAAACAACAACAACAAAAAACCCAAAAAATGTATGTTCCTGTGTTATAGCAGACTGAGTGAACCAAAACAAGCACTCAATACTATGATGGCTACCCAGAGTTTGGTCAGTTGTGCTGACTTTTGTGCCTTGTTTTTAATCTTATTAACTTTATTTTTAAAATGTGCAAATGAAAACACCACGCACAAAGATTACTCAGACTCAAAGTTTACAACTTGATGAACTTTCATACAGTTAGAATTGGCATTCCAAACAAAATTTGTGAGTGCATCCCACTTTAATGGCAGGAATGCATGGCCAAAGAAGTGATTTATTACATTAGAAGCCCATAGACAACTTATATGCATGTTGGGTCACTCGGAGACTACAGAAAACATGTGTGGTTACCACTAAGGTCATTGAAGGGGTCTCTGATGGCAGCAACAGGAGTCCCTGTTGATTTTATTTTGGAGAAATTCTAGAGCTTTTTGTTGGAGAGCCTTATTCAAGGCAGTCTTAAGTTGTTCAAGTATCCTGGGTAGCCTGTCCCTTCTAAGATAAAGCTAATTGTGGCTGAAGGGCCATTCAGAGAGGCAGATCATTAT